AAAAAGAAAAAGGAAAAAAAATCAAAATTTTAGTCATGGATAGGGTTGAATGACCAATGGCTACTCAACTTGATTATGACCACTCAATTTGATTTTGTTTCATCATGATTACTTAATATCATATAACGTTTCATCATTGTCACACAACTTCTTTTCACCATTTTCACTGATTTTAAAATGGTAATTTTACATTATATGTAATAAATTAAAAAAGCAAAAATATAAATTTTTTTAAAATAAATTTTTATTTTATTTCATATTTCTTAGTAACTTTTTTTAAATAAGTTTTTATTTTATTTTATTTTTGTAAGGAACATTTTTTTTTTGGATGAATATAATATAGCTAGAGTCCAAGGTTTAGTGCATGGCCTACCAATTACGATATGGGCCATATCCTTTTGTGAGCTTTTTTTGACCAAAACTGCAATACATATTGCCCACAAAAATTCCAGTTCATTGCAAACCCCTTTGGGGCCCTTTCTGCTTTTGGCTTTTGCTATCGAAAAGATGGGAGACTTCAGAGAAAGTATGATCTCGTGGAAATTAATACTTTTCATGTCAAAGAGTGCATGTCTAGTATGAAGGATATATATAAAAGTCTAGTTATTTATAATGACCAAAATTGGACCATTTACCATTGACTCTCTCTGTGCTTGCTAATATTTGAGACGGTTAAAGTAACTTGAGCGCTTTATGCGAAGGTCTTTTCGATAATAATATTATAAAAAATTGAAGCAATTAATCACTGAACGCAATTTTATCAATAATGGTCAACTATATTAACACTGTGATTCTGATAGAAGTCAACAAGTTGGTGATTCAGAAGAAATTACCAATGATAATACAATCGATAATCACCGACACACCTCTGTCAACGACAATTAGCAACAATAGAATTGGTATTGTAATATCACCGATGGTGTTTCAGTTACGAGCAGGAGACTTTGTATCATTTATGAAATTTTTATTTGTAATTATGGTTCATAAATGTTATGTAACAAACATTAACTCATCGTTCTTGTGACCTTGAGTTGTTCTAAATCCTTATTACTCAGTCTTTCATCGAATATTGTGACCTAAGTATCAATAGTCATTTCAACATCATAACTATCTTCCAAAGTATGCATTCTTTGTGACCTTTTTGTAACCAATTGTGTCATCCATTTAATGTATGTGGCCTGAAATTGTATTCTTAGTGACATTTTTGTAACCAAGTGTGTCATCCATTTGTTCTGTTTATTCCTCTCCATTTGACGTTGTTGGTAAATGTAACTTCTAATTTCCTGTATATAACTGTTGACCCAAAAAAATGGTCATATGACGTGGTCAACAGAAAATTAGAGAATCACTTCTTCAGAGATCGAATTACAACATACTGGAACTTAAATATGAATTGTAACTATGAATCATTGTAGGGAATAATCCACTATGTTCTGTATTGTGATGTTATGACAGTCTTTACAAA